CCGGTTTTTGACCAGCACAAGCAAAAGAGAGCACATTACACCTGTTTTGGCCTCCCTACACTGGCTTCCGGTTCACCTTTGAATCAAATTCAAAATACTCTTGTATGTCTATAAATCACTAAACAGCTCTGCCCCCTCCTATCTTACTGATCTGCTCCAGCCGTATGTCCCACCACGTTCTCTCAGATCAGCAGACCAGTTGCTCCTAACAGTCCCAGGAACCCGTCTCAAGCGCAGAGGTGACAGGGCCTTCTCTGTAGCAGGACCAAGACTTTGGAATGAGTTACCTCTGCTCGTTAGACAGGCCCCCTCCCTCACAGTTTTTAAATCTCGCTTAAAAACACACTTCTATTCCCTGGCTTTCTGCACTGTGTGATCTGTGCTGAGTCTGTGTGCATCACACTGTGTTGGTCATGTTGCGGTTGTTGTTGTTGTTATCCATTATTGTTTTTGTTGGTTTCTACTTTTTGGTGTCCTGTTATATAATATGTTGCTATGTGCTTGTTCTGTTTGTCCCTGTACAGCACTTTGGTGTGCTTTGTCACTGTTTAAAGTGCTTTATAAATAAATTGGTATGGTATGGTATTCCTGAGCCCATTCTGATATTTCCTTGACAGTGGCATTCCTGTTTGAGGTGCAGTGACGTTTAAGGGCCCGGAGATCACGAGCATCCAGTAGAGTTTTATGGCCTTGACCCTTACGCACAGCGATTGTTCCAGATTCTCGGAATCTTTTGATGATGTTATGCACGGTTGATGATAACTTAAAAGTCTTTGCTGTTTTACGCTGGGTAACACTATTCAATTCAATTCAAAAATACTTTAATCCCAGAGGGAAATTACATGTTGTGGTAACTCGTCATCCTGGTTTCATTAAAGAGTTGTTCTAGATGCTGATGGCTGTGGGCAGGAAGGATCTCTTGTAGCAGTCTGTCCTACAACGGATTTGGAGAATCCTCTGACTGAAGACACTTTGTTGTTGTATGACAGTCTGATGAAGAGGATGCTGAGGGTTGTCTATAATGTTCTTCATTTCATGAAGAATCCTTCTTTGAATAATCATCTCCAAAGGTTCTAGAGGAGTCCCCAGAACTGAGCCAGCCTTCTTTATGAGCTTGTTGATCTTTTTTAAGTCACTTGCTCTGGTGCTGCTCCCCCAGCAGATGATGACAGAAGAGATAGTGCTCTCTACAACAGACTTATAGAAGATATGCAGCATCTTGCTGCAAACGTTGAAGGACTTCAGCTTACTCAAGAAGTACAGTCTGCTCTGTCCCTTCTTGTAGACGCTTCACTGTTGTAGCTCCAGTCCAGTCTGTTGTCCAGGTGAACTCCAAGGTATTTATACTTCTCCACCACCTCCACTTCTTCTCCCATGATGGAAATAGGGTTGGACCTGTTCCTGATTCTCCTGAAATCTACAATAATCTCCTTTGTTTTGTTCACATTCAAGATGAGATGATTGTTTCCACACCCTGCGACAAAGCGGTCCACCAGTTCCCTTTACTCAGCTTCTTGTCCATCTCTGATACACCTGACTACTGCAGAGTCATCAGAATATTTCTGCAGATGACAGGAGTCTGTTTTATACTGGAAATCTGAGGTGTACAGAGTGAAAAGGAATGGTGAGATTACAGTCCCATGTGGTACTCCTGAGCTACTGACCACCTGGTCAGACACACAACCCTTCAGTCTCACAAACTGTGGTCTGTCCGTCAGGTAGTCTTTGATCCAGGTGATTGTTGAGGCCTCCACCCGAGTCTTCTGAAGTTACTGACAAAGCAAATCATGCTGGATTGTGTTAAATGCACTGGAGAAATCAAAGAACATGACTCTCACAGTGCTGTCTGCCTTTTCTCGATGACAGTGAGTTTGCTGAAGCAGGTGTATGATGGCATCTTCAACTCCAAGTCCATGCTGATAAGCAAACTGCAGTGGGTCCTGATATGTGCTTGTTTGTCTAGTCAGGTGGGTCAGCAGAAGTCTCTCTAGGACCTTCATGATGTGGGATGTCAGGGCAACAGGTCTATAGTCATTGAGGACTGATGGGTGTGATTTCTTTGGCACTGGAACAAGACAGGATGTTTTCCACAACACTGGAACCTTCTCCTGGGCTAAGGTTGAAGAGGTGCTGCAGAACCCCACAGAGCTGCTCTGCACAGACCTTCAGGACTCTGGGACTGACACCATCTGGACCTGCAGCCTTATTCTGGTTCAGTCTCTCCAGCTGCTTCCTCACCTGACTTCTGGAGACGCAGAGGGGGGAGGCAAAGGAGGTATCAGCATCTTCTGATTTGGTTGAAGACCAATATGTAGAAGAAGGGTCCATGACTGAGGTGGTATATACAGTATTTGAGGTGTGACAGGACAGCCTTGGGTCAATGGAGGATGGTATGTATGTTTGACTGTGGGCAAGAGAGGACGATGCTGAGCTTGTTCTTGAACTGAACCTGTTGAAGAATATGTTCAGTTCATTGGCTCTGTCCAGGCTTCCATCCTTCTGATCCTCCTTCTGCTTGAAGCCTGTGATCTGTTTCATCCCTGACCACACCTCTCTGATATTGTTCTGTTGGAACTTGCTCTCCAGCTTCTTCTTGTACACCTCCTTGCTGTTTCTTATCTTGACTTTTCGTTTCTTCTGTGTGCTCCTCAATAATTCCCTGTCTCCCTCCCTGAAGGCTCCTTTTTTCTGGTTTAGCAGTTCCTTCAGGTCAGTGGTGATCCAGGGTTTGTTATTGGGGAAGCATCTCACTGTTCTGGTGGGGATGGTGTTGTTTACACAGAAGTTTATATAGTCTGTCACACACTCAGTCATGGCACTGATGTCCTCTCCATGTGGCTGGCACAGTGCATCCCAGTCTGTAGCATCAAAACAACCCCGCAGGGCTTCTTCAGCTTCCGTTGACCATTTTCTCACTGTTCTCTTTATTGCAGGTTGCCTCTGAACAAGGGGTTTATATTTTGAGCAGAGATACACAAGATTGTGATCTGATTTGCCAAGAGGGGGTCTTGCTTTAGCGATGTATGAATCCTTGACATTTGCATAAAACAAGTCCAGCGTTTTGTTTTCTCTGGTAGAGCAGCTGACAAACTGTTGGAATGTCGGAAGTGTAGCAGAGAGAGAGGCATGATTAAAATCCCCAGATAATGCAACAAACGCACTAGGGTGTTGTGTCTGTAGCTTAGCAACCTTGGAGCTGATGACATCACACGCAGTTTCGGCAACAGCATTGGGTTGAATGTAAACTGTTGCCAAAATAACACTGGTGAACTCTCTTGGCAAATAATATGGACGACAACTTAGGGCTAACAGTTCAATATCTGGACTGCAGAGACGACACTTCACAGTAACATGTCAAGGATTACACCATCTGTTGTTCACAAGCACTGCCAACCCACCTCCTTTCCTTTTGCCACTCCTCTTTAAATCTCTATCTGCTGGCAGAGACATGCTGGAGTCGGGGATATGATCCTGCAGCCATGTCTCAGTGAAACACATCACACTGCATTCCCGATACTCTGGATGGGTCCTTGTTAGGGCTTGAAGGTCATCCAACTTGTTTCCCAGCGATCTCACATTGCCCATCATGATCGATGGAAGAGATGGTTTAAACTTCATTCTTCTCTCTTTCTCCCTCTTCTTTGCTCCTGCTCTGCATCCACGATACCTCCTTTTCAACTCATTTGGGATTTGAGTTTGTAGTTGAGATATTATTTGAGCTTTGGAGATGTTAATCAGCTGCTCCCGGTTGTAAAAAACAACCTTGTTGTTATGGTTACGCATTATAACAAATGTCCAAAAGTAAAGATATTTCTGTAAAAATCCTTCCAGCTGCACAGCATCTGACACCAGA